TACATGAATAAAGATGTTTTTATTTGCATATTACTTAAATGGAAATGGATACTTCTAAATATGTTAAAATAATTTGTTTTCTTGACAAGCCTCATTTGAATTTTATTTACTCTATTAATTTACTTATCAAAATTAATGAGGCTTTATATATGCATATAAAATACACTTGAATGTATTTTAAAATTTCTAGCTATAGAGTTAGGGCGTACTTTTAAAATTGTTGGCATCGGGAGTATTCAGCCCTTACCATGCTGTTTCCCTCAGAGATGATCCGAAATTTAATTAGGCTTCTAAAAGATATTGTGAATGATGAATCTAATGATAAATCAAACTAAGTGTGAGATCATTCTGCAAGACCATTTGGCTGTTATGTGATTTATCTAATAGGTACTTGATTTTTATTTTTCCACACAAGCACTGAGCAAGCTTTAACTTAGTGAAGGAGAATATTATTTTGTCATCCTTAAAGCTCAAGGCAAAAATTTCACTGTTTGAAAGGAGACATATTCCTAACTAGCATTTAAAATGCTAATTTAGTAAACTCTCAGTCTCGAACATTTTTGGGTAAAGTTATTTATGTATGTAACTAACGTTGATTTAATGAAGTAGCAAGAGGGGAATTTGTAAATGCAAAAGTGAAGTAATTTGAAAATCTATTAGCTGAGAGATTTCAGCTCATGCTATCTTTAGAGGACACAAATAAAAAAAAGTCAAAAACAAGATGTTTTTAAATAAAAAGACATGGAGAATGACAGTCAACAATAGAAAGAGCTGCACAAAAGAAAAAAAGAATCAAAACATTTATCCTGTGCATGATATTAAAATATTGTGAAAGAGCTTGAAAATTAATTATCTACTTTAGTTTGCCTTCATAAATGAGTTGGAAATTTCAAATAAATTTCTGGATAAATGAGACGGCTAAGTGGTGCATCATTTGCAGATGTTTTCTGAACACAGCAGAACTTAGAGGATTCTGACGTGCATAAGAAAAACCCCACAAAACATGGTGGGTTTATCATACTTGTATGCACATTCATTGTTGTTGACAACATGGTCAAGAGCAAAGAAGCCCATGTTGCCTTATGCATTGAAAGACAATATGATGTGATGAAAAGAACATGGTGAAAGATTTCAGAAGACCTGGGTTCTAATTCTGCCTCTGCTCTTCACTTGGGCAACTCATTCAGGGACTAGGGCATATAGGCCCTCAGTTCTAAAATTGGAGGATTGAGAGTAAAGAGTGAAATATATTCTTCTCTAAGGCTCCTCCTAACTCTAGCATTCTGTAGCTCTGTGATCTGTTGTTCTCTTACAAACTAAATCATAGATGCAGTCATGGCCTCCTTGCGTAGACTTCCTGGCCAAGAGAGCTCACTATATGTTTAGAATGGTAATCACTAGAAAGCCTAAAAGGTATGAATATCTTGGAATTAAATAAGTGCATGGTTACTTATACTAAAAAGTTCCTGTTCCATTAAGCGCAAATTCTTGATCAGAATAAGATGAGGCAACCCCCTCTCCATGCCATTTTGTGGTCTAAAGGATGATTCTGTCTATTGTTAAGTGACCAGAGAAAGCATGTTTTTATATGGAAATGTTTGGGTTCTTGAGGAAAACAGACTTGGAACTAAGTTGTAAGTAGAAGAGAAAATCTCAGTGATTGACATATTCCTGCAATCGATATTACCATTCATCTAAAAAACTCACCCGTTTAATAAACTTTTCTCTGTACAAAGCAATTATATTTATAGATTGAATATTCATAGTTAGACATTTCTTACTATCTTAGAAGAATAATCAAAAGGTAGAGCGTACACAAGATGTGAAATGTGGCAAACTGGCATCCTAATTCTACACTCTGTGGTTAGGAAAAAGAGAAAACAAGCTCAAGTTGGGATCTGCAATCAGTATGTTTTTCAAGATGCTTCAAGAATAAATGGCTCTAAGGATAAACTTGATTGAAGTACTGCATGTCAATCACCCCTCAGATATTCACACTAAACATTAACATCCTCTGAGGATGTTTTGCAGTAAATTTAACTTTTAAAAAATACCTTTATTGACATATAATTCGCATACCATAAAAGTCACCCATTTAAAGCATTAGATTATCTAAATTTACCGTAGATAAATCAGATTATTTATCTTTTATTATTTAGTTGTAATAGTTCTTATATACTCTAGATACAAGTCACTTATCAGATATATGATTGGAAAGTAGTTTTTCCACTGTTGTGGATAAACTTTTCACTTTTTGATGGTGGTTTTTACTGTGCAAAAGTTGTTACTTTTGGCGAAGTTCAATTTATCTATTTTTTCTTTTGTCACTTGTGCTCTTGGTGTCATATTTAAGAAAGAGTTTCATAACCCAAAGTCATGAAGTTTTACTCTTATTTTTCTTCTAAAAGTTCTATAGTCTTAGCTCTTATATTTAGATCTATGATCCATTTCGAGTTAATTCTTGTGTATGGTATGAGGTATGGGTCCAACTTTGTTCTTTTGCATCTGGAAATCCAGTTGTCCCTGCACCAGTTGTTGAAAATATTATTCTTTCCCCCATTGAATTGTCTTGGCGCTCTTGTTGAAAATCAATTCATCATAAACATATGGGTTTTTTCCTAGGCCCTCAATTCTATTCCATTGATTGACATGTCTATCATTATATCAGTATCACCCTGTCTTGATTATTATAGCTTTGTAATAAGTTTTGAAATTGAAACATGTGAGCCTTCCAACTTTGTTCTTTTATAAGATTGTTTTGTCTATTTTATATTTTTTACATTCCAGATGAATTTAGAAAAAATTTCTGCAAAAAAAAAAAACAAGCTGGGATTTTGATGGGGCTTGTATTTGGATCTGTAGATCAATTTGGAGAATATTGCCATCTTAACGATATTAAGTCTTCAGATCTATCCATAAACTCTATCTTTCTTGAGTGGGCCCATTTCAAGGTGGAGGAAAATCTCTAGTGACATTCTCCATAGCACCGTTCTTGGCAGAGCTCTCTTTAATATTAGACAGTATTTTTTGTTTCAACTTTGTTGATGACACAAGACTGGGAAGGGCAACATTTGGTAGAATTGATGCTTATGTCAGACCAGATTAGTGAACTGAAATCAACAATTTGAAATTTGTCAGCCTTAAAAGTAAATAACTGTATTTAGCAAAAGAATAGGATGACATTATAAGGAGATTGATTCAGCATATGAGCGTGTTTTGTACATTATAAAAGGCTATTCTGATATATTTATTAGTTTAAAAGTATTATGTAAAAAGATCATCCTAATAATATTTGATATTCAGAATAATGACTATCAAAAACTGCAAGAGGCTCAGTGATTAAAAAGATACTGTCATGTCCAGTACCTTCTATTTACCAAACAGGAAAAAAGGGTTAGAACATTTTAGAAAGATTCTTATGAATAAGCTTTGCAAAGGATTTACTCTTTCTGTCCAATAGCATATAGTCCCAGTGAGGTTATGGAATTATGAGTACTTTTTAGAGTTGACCCATTTTTCAGCTGGCTTTATTTCTTTCTGGTTTAAAAACAGAAAGCAAAAGCATGGAGGAACATCTCTTCATGAGTGAAGTGGCAACCTAAGCTAACATTGAGATTAGTAATAACAATAATTGCTAATATTTACTGAATGCTTTCTTTATAAAGTTGGTGGAATTACTAGTCTCACTTTACTAATGAGTGAATTGAAGTTTACAGAGGGTATGTAACTAGCCCAAAGACAGAGCAAGTCAGTGGTGGAGCTAGCATAACTCAAGGGTGGGAGTCTAGCTGCTATGTTTTGCTACCTTCTAAGAGACAAGCTTAAGCAAGAATTATGAAGGCTTAGTTTAATGGCTCAATTCCTTAAACAATCTCTATTTCCCTTATACTGATTGTGCCATTTCTTCTGCACTTCTTTTGCTTTGAAGAATTTCATGGAAATAGGCACTCTAGTGATTTTAGGCATCTCTTTGTTCTTTTGCGTGTGTTGGAACTTCTAAGCATGGGTAGATGTGGTGATGGATGGCTTGATATCTGCTAATAGCGAGAGGTCATGAGATGACACCAGGAAGCGGTAGAAACAAAAGCTTTTATGGGATATTTGGTTTATCTCAAGCTTTTATGTATTTTTTATGTATTATCTCAAGTTTTATGTATTTTTTAATCTAAGATCTATTAGCCTGATCCTCAGAATTATCTACACACTTAGGGACGCTCTAATTTGAGGAAAGTGTCTAATCTGAGTAAACGTGGCCTGAAAGAAGAGTCCCTTAAGTCACTCTGGTTCCCCAGGTCAGCACAGTTTATACCCATGCCCTCCAGGAGCCACTGATATTCCTTCACTTGCCCCAGATGGATGCCTCTAAAGGGCTGCCATACAAAGTACCACAAACTGGCTGGCTTAAAACAACAGAAATTTCTTTTTTCACAGTCTGGAGGCTAGAAGCCTGAAACCAAAGTTTTGGCAGGGCTACGCTGCCTCCAGAGCCCCTAGGGGAGGATCCTTCCCTGTCTCCTCCAGCTTCTGGTAGCCCCAGGTACTCCTCAGCTTGTAGATGCATTAGTCCCGGGTCTGCCTCCATCATCACATGATGTTCTCCCTGTATGTGTCTGCCTCCACATTGTCTTCCCTCCTTTTACAAGGATATCAGTCATAGTGGATTAAGGACCTACCTTACTTCAATCCGACCTCATTGTAACTTGGTTATAACTACAAAGATTCTATTTCCAAATAAGATCATATTTACAGACATTGAGGGTTAGGATGTAAAATATCTTTTGGGGGACACAAGTCAACCCTTAACACCAAATCTGGCATTTGTGATACTGCTTTAGTGTGACTGATTGAGACCAGCCCCTCAGAGAAACACAGAGGTGGGTGGAATCATTCTACTGAAAATCAGTTAGTCTCTTCGCATTTAGAAGGAATGCTCTTTTCACCACCTCCTTCACAAAAACAGTTGTATTTTCATGATTATGTGGATTTTCTCATATTTGAAGGTCCACAAGATGGTGTTGTTTCAACTCATGCAACATGATATGACAACAGTGACGCTGCAGTGCAAATGCAAATATCAACAACCGCAAAACCAATAGACTGAGCAGATGCTGTGACTGAACTAGCTGCGACAATCAGCAAATGATTGATGTGTGAAGCACAGCTTTCAGCAGCAGCTGCTTCTCTGAGAATTGGTTTCAGTGAATCCCCACTGCGGCTGCCATTTTTCCCTGAGCCAGAGAACTCCTGACGTGAACAAGGGGCTGTTACAGGAGGTGTAAATTCAGTGAGTAATGAATGTCACTGGCCTGGGTATGAGATATGTAATCATTCTCAAGTACAAGGAAAGAGATAATTTTGACATTAAATATATTTTGTTGAGTTTTGTCTCTTTTTGTCTCCTGTTCATAGTCTTCTTGCCTTGAATTTAATGTCTTGGAGTAAAGCTTATCTAAATAAGTGAATTCATCTTCCAAAAAGCAAATATAGTTAATGTAAAGAATTTAGTGTACCTAGTAAATGACACTCTGGGGGAAAATACATCTTTGTAAAAAGTATATTAAGACTTCCTTTTATTCTAAATCTGGACTTATAATGTCATAAACAGTTTTTAAATTCAGCTATGAGCATTCCTTGGACAACAGTGTGAATGACAGTCATGGAATGCATAGCCTGTACAGCCTAATGCTATGGCCTGCTGTGCGTACCTCTCCAGTTCTAGACAGGTGATGAATTAGAAAAGTAAAGCTTTTTTTAAAAAGAAATTTTTATTTATTTATTTATTTTGAGGAAGATTAGCCCTGAGCTAACCACTGCCAATCCTCCCCTTTTTACCAAGGAAGATTGGCCCTGAGCTAACATCCGTGCCCATCTTCCTCTACTTTATACGTGGGACGCCTGCCACAGCATGAGTTTTGCCAAGTGGTGCAATTTCCGCACCTGGGATCGGAACCGGTGAACCCAGGGCTGCCGAGAAGCAGGACGTGTGAACTTAACTGCTGCACCACCGGGCTGGCTCCTAAAGCTTTTTTTAAGTTGACCTATATACCTGGATTTAAAAAAAAATCCTCAAAATGATGATGATGATGACAACAAAGACAAAAATAAACAAGACTAGACTGCATCCCTTAGTGAAGATAAGACAGAAAACCAGCAATGAGCATTTCAGCCTAAGCCTCTTTCTTGATGGATTAAGTATGAAATCCTAATGAGGTCAGTTTATTCTTCAGAGATTGTTCTTACAGACGCTGCTTAAGAGTCACTCTTCGAAAGACCCTTTAGGAATGGCTTTACCTCAAAATTCTGTTTCAGATTTTTTTCCTGAATTCCATTCTAAAATCTGAAACTAACAATCTGTATCTTAGCTAGAAGCATCTAAACCTGCAGCATGTTAAATAGTTAGCAAAGATACATGCCTCTGAATGAGTCCTCTAATACATTTCTCTTCTCTGGTGCTTTTCCTAGAAAGAAATAGCAATGACCAAGAATATCAGGACACAGTAGGTTCAAGAGGGAGACCTTCGGCCCAAGAAATAACAGCGTCAGTCTCAAGCAGGAATTCAGAGTTAGTTTTGAAAGGATATGGAGGTCAGGAAGAGGAAAAAAGCTTGGCTATAAAGTCAATGTTTTTTTTAATTGAGGTATAATTGACATATAACATTATATTCAGCTATACAACATAATGATTTGATATTTGTATATATTGCAAAAATGATCAATTGTATTAATGAAACAAAATAATTAAATTTGCATTTGAAAATTTCACAAATCTTCTCTGGTCCTGTGGTGGTAGTTAGTTATTTAGAGGCAATTTGGTACAAGATAAAGCTGAGTTTATTCTCCCTTCCCCCCAGTAAAGAAATGACCTGTGAAGTACTGCTAGTCATTTAACCTTCTAAAGTGTAGTTTGTCCTTTGGTACAAAGAACATCTTAATAATGACTGCCGTTTATTAATCACTTACTATGTGGTAGGTATTATGCTAAGTACTTTTCAGACATTGTCTCATTTAATCTTCATAACACCCTGTGAGACAGAAGTTTTGTTTCCACATTATAAATAAAAAGTTGGGCTGAAGTTGCCCAAGTTATAGCTGTCATGTTCTAGAGCTGGTCTGGCTCCAAATCTCGTGTACGAAGCATTATGCTGTGTTTAGTGTTAGAATCTCTCCCAGCTTTAGCCCTCTCTGACCAAACCTTTATGGCCATCTGTCTTCCTTTTCCCAGTGTTCTCACCGTTGACACTGCCTCTCAACCAGACTCAAGAAGGTCAACTTACAACCGCCCGTAGAGCTCCAACAGGCTGTCTGTGCAGCTATGAAAACTAAAGTCCAAAGTGTTTACTGTTTGGACAGAGAGTCACTCTGTCCACTTCATAAGAGCATCTTATCTTACCCAAAAGAGCACCAAATTACAACAATATCTATTTCACGAACAGCTTTTAAAATTGGAGAGCTATTATGGTTTTTTCGTGCTCCTCCCCCACCTCCCACCTGTGTTACTGGAAGATCACTTCTTGTACATAGGCAAGATGACAACACATTTTGTGTTAGTCCTGAACTGCCTTCAAGGACATTGCTGTGCTTTTTAAAAAAAGATCAGGCTGCTTTGAACAGATTACCGATCTTATCAAGGTGGGGATGGAGCATCTGGTGTTAAAAATATAATGCTAATAGGATGTCTTATAAAAACTACTTTGAAAAAAATATATTGTGTGTTCAAAGTGACCTCTGAAGTGAGTTCGTCAACTCTACTTTCCCACATATTTACTCTTTGCTGCTCCTGTGGGTTGACTTAGTCAAGCACCACTACTAATAATGAGTCAGTATGACTTTGTGTCTGGCAGACCTAGGTTCCATTCCTGACTCCTCTTGGCGCTGGCTCCATACAAACTCAGGCTCCTTCAGGCATCCAGTGGTATTAATATTTCCTTCTGAGAGCTTTTTTAAGGATTCAGTGAGAGTGCTTAAATCATCTGGAAAATCGTGGGCACTCAGCAATTATTTGTTCCCTTCCCTCCCAAAGAGTTGGTATATTCACTTTCGTATATAGCAGTTTTTACTGGCTTTCTTTTGTGAGCATCAATGTTTGAATGCCAGATCTAAATCAGCTAGTATGGATGGAGCAGTCTTGGGATTAGTACTTAAAATTGTAACTCTCTTTTATTATTAACTTCAGAATTACTTTATTCACTATGATGGCTAACAGTTTTCTCTTCAGCCCAAGATACACCTATTAAAATGTTGGAAGTCGTGTGGAACACATCAGGGGCTTATGAGCTGATTTCCTGGTGTTTTAGGATTATGATATAGGCAAGAAAGTAAAATAGGCTAAGAAGTTTAATATTGTTGGAAAAATTTAAAAGTTACTTCCTTTATTGGAGCTTTGCAAGCAAACATGAAGAAGCAGTGAGTAGCTTATAAGAAATGTGCCTCTGGTGCTTTAGTGGTGTGGTTTTCATAGGACGCATGGTGAGAGGGTAGAGAGAGGGGCTTTCCTGAATGATCAGAGTGGCTTTCAGATTATATGTCAAATGCCAGGAATTCTAAAACCACACAAACCACTCGAGGAGATGGGCAGAGCAGATGAGAGTGAAGCATGACAATTTTGCGTGTTGAATACTAAGTACCGTGAAACAGGATCTTCCCTCCTGCCTCCACCCCTGCCCCCTCCACTCTTCGCTGATACCAACTCAAAATAAGAAAAAAGCTTTTTTCTCCCAAGCTGATTTGATGGTGTACAGCAACCCTTGTTCAGATATTTGGCAATGATCTATAAAGGAGAGGTCATTTTCGGATAGGCCTTCCCATCTTGATTTACCTGAAGGACTGAGTAGTCGTGTCTGGTCATTATATATATAAATAAAAAGAGGAGATATGGAATCCCAAAATTTGAGCCAGTATTAAGGACTTTTAAAAAGATAGATTATGAAACTCCAGTATAACACTGAAGCAACAAGGACAAAAACAGTCTCCGAAACAGTGTAAAGACCATGGATAATGCAATCACTATGTGAAGAAGAAAGGAAATTACTAACAGACTTCTCTTCAAAGGAATGCAGAGGAATATCAATTTCTCATACCAAGTGAATTTGTATGATTGGTTTCGATGAAAACGTAGTGGTAAAGAATCCTGGAATTTTCTCTGATGTCCCTTGGGTAGTGATAATGTACATTCTGCAGGCTAAAGATAAAGAGAAAATCATCTAGGAAAAAGTTAATATGGTGGTGAGCTTCAACAATCTGACATGGATAGTAGGATGAAAACCAGAAAACTTTGGTCTGACTCCTCCTGGTTGGATGATCGAGGCCGGGTGGGGAAGGATTGCTGGAAGGCATGTTACAACAACGTTACCTGAATATTCTGGAATGACAGTGACCTTCCAGTAATTGGAAGGCATCTGGCAAATGATACAGATTCCCAAACTCTTGCTTCTTATAGTAACAGTTGACTTCCATGCTGCCAACTTTGTGTTAACTTCAAAGCGTAAATTTGAAGTTTAGATCCACTGTAACTTTGAATATAACTTCATAAAAGTCGGGGAGGAGGCTTTTGTGTGTTTGTCATTTCCACTTACAAACATCATCTGCCTAGAAAGAATGAGGACAGTAGCAAAACACTTCTGCTTTAATTTTCCTTTACTCCTCTCACCTCATTCCTTCCTCTATTATGAGAATAAAGAAAGGAGAGAATGATGTAAGTACCTGTTTGTTCTTTGTTCCCCTGGAATTCTGGAAATTTAAATTGAAACTAAAGCATGATTGAGACCTGCCTTGTTCAGAATCCTGATGAAAGCTTGTCTATCTCAAGGGATGATTACTTTAAAATTTTCATGAGACTTTTAAACAGATTTAAGAAGTTTAAATCACATCAAATTCCTTTTAAATTAGTTTGTCATCTTGGGTTAAAGTTAAGTCTTTTGTTCCATGTTTTCAATCATTACGCTTCTCTTATTAATGTAATAATGTTCTTTTTTTTCTCTTGCTGATTACTGCTTCCTCTTCCTGCCTTTTGAGATAACATCCTATTGTTCAGTTTTTGGCATACTCTGATCTCTCTTAGCCTGAGATTCCATCAATTCTCATCTTTTCAACTATCCGTACTATACAAAATCACTGAAATTCCATTTTCCATTTTCTCCTCCTGTCTGAGTTCCAGGCCCATAGTTCCAACTGCTTAGTGATGGCCACCATCTAACCTCCACCAGCTCTCCTTCTCAACTGTTGTTTTGTGTAGGGAACTAGCTTCCATTATCATAGTTTTAGGAAAGGACAGTATCTTGTCCGTTT